AGAAACGCCGCATTCGTGTTTTTTTGTCGTTTTTACAACCCGCCCGCATCCTTCGCAGAGACGAATGGTGTTACAAACGCTCGTCGGAGTTTTACCGTCATACGACTTTGTCGCCCGATGATGTTCGAAGCATGCGTTTCCGAAGAACGAACGTTTGCAAGTCTCACACCTAATGAGTTCCACGATTTCGCGTTGATCGCACGGCGGCATGTTGTTACAACGAGAACATTTATTCGAACAGCGGTGACCCCTTTCTTCACGATACCCGATATTACATGGAATACAATACCCCCCTCTACTCCCCGCGGCTGCTTTTAAATTTAAAATTGGGCTATAATGTCGATGTTGCTCGTGATATATAATATTTAGACGATATAAAGGTTCGCGTTTTAGAGAGGCGAGTACCGTGCTTCCGTCAAATAAGGGTCTCTCGCCGCGTCCAAAAGTAGCAGAATTATAAACAACAATAGCTATATCAGATGCGGCGAGAAAGCGTAGGAAACATTCTATTTCCCGAATCCCGCAACCCGGTGGAATGGTGACACCAGCTCTCCTCGTCAAATCCAATGCGAGTTCGCGTTGTAACGAGGAATTCTAATGTCTTTCCACATTCCACCGCTCGTGAAGTTCCCCCGCACGCAACGTACCGCGTTCGTGATAAATTTGCGCGGTCACGAGAGAGCGGGGAAAACATAAATTATCGGAATTGGAGATTGATAAAATCGAACGTTTCGCAACGTCTTTCCGTGTGAGTTTATTTGAAACGCATCCGCGACCTCTGGATGCCGCGACATTGAAAATGCGTACGTTAAAATCCCGCGCGATATCGATACCTCCGGCACTTTGCGCTACTGAACTCACAAGGCGCCAAATGTCTTCGCGAGTTAAGTCGCGTGCCGGTCGAAATGATAATCCCGCCGGGCCGTACGTTAAATCCTCCGAATCGAATGAAAATCTCACGTAATCGTACGGTTCGGAGGTATGTAACGCGTAGGCATAAATTTCGGCGAACGCGTTTTCAAGCCAGTTATAAACACCGACTCCTTCGGGTAGCGGACGCAAACGGAATATCGCCTCTCTTCCTAATATTGCAAAATTTCTAAACCGGCGCGAATTTTCCCCGATTAATATTAAATGATTAAAATTTCTAACTTCCCCGCCACGTGCTTGTTCTCTTTCTTCCTCTTCCACTTGTCCTCCTTCTTCCTCCTCCTCTTCCACTTATTCTCCTTCCTCAGCCGCCGCCTCCTCCTCCTCCTCTTCCTCTTCCTCTTCCCTTTCTTCGCCTGTTGTTTCCTGCTCCTCCTCCACCTCCCCCTCCTCCAAATTTTCCTGAGCAATAAGTCCTCCTCCACGTTGCGGCTCTTCGATGTTCGCTTCTGTATAAAAGTTACAAAAATTAGAATTTTATAGAAAATACTTCAAGTTTGCTTAGAATATTATGTTCGTATTTAATTTGATAAACAACATGTTTTTCTGAGGTAACGTCTTTTATCGTCGGCTCCTTCTCACGTAGAAAATAGGACTGGGAGGTATTCCTAATAAAAATTCAATAATTTAAAATTAAATACGAACATAAATCGAGAAATTAAGATGAAAAGGAATATATACCAGGCGGTGTTTCTCTAATTTCCTCTTCGCTTTGTTCAGATTCTTCCTCACGTTCCTTCATCTCCTCTTCCTCCCCCTCCTCTTCCTCCTCATCCTCCCTCTCCTCTTCCTCTTCTTCTTCCTGCTCCTCTTCTTCTTCCTGCATTTCTTCTTCTTCCCCTTCTTCCTCGCTCCAGATTCTCTCCTCTGGGATTATAGGGGAGTACATATGTTCTAAGAAAAATATATCGTAAATTTTTATTTTTGATATTAATATTATGTCCTTTGATTAATAAAAATATTATGTACTTTAATTAATTAATATTTTTTCTCTAACAACTTACCAGGTGAAAACACACGCTGATCGGGAGTACTTACTGTCGTATCTAAAAACAGAGTTGTATTAAGATTTTCTACCTTTTATCATTTGTTTTAAAGATTATTTATTTAAAATGTAAATCTACCAGATGATAATTGAATAATTTCCGGAGGCGCCTCTTCCTCCTCCTCCTCCTCCTCCAATTCCTGTGTAGGTAAAATACGAGCTCTTCCTAAAAACATTTAATATTTTAATCTTAGAAAATGGTAAAAATTACATTTTAACATTCTTCCTGGCTAGTTTTTAGCGAAATTACTTACGTGCTGGTCCTGCTTCTGGCTCGTCCTCCGCGCGTCGTCTCCAAATCTGGGTGAACGGATACACTATCGCTGTGGCTTTTTGACGCGTATTTCTTGCTACAATTTATTATTAAAAATTAGTTAAACCGCGAGTTCGATATATGAGTTATTTTTATAGAAATAATAGAGAGCAACTTACCGTTGAGGAAATGAGAGAGGAGATTTTGGATGTGTCCACCCACATCCTCCTTTTCGTGTCCAACCGCGCGTCGCGTTTCGATTATTTCTCCGGCAATCCGGAGTAAACGCTCGTCGCCAGCGAAGTAACCCAGTTGATATAGCATCCCCAATATCGTATCCGAACATTCGCACGAAAAACGTGTAAAAAGTAAATAATTATCATCGAGCGAAACGTTGGATATTTTAAACAAAAATTTATCCGCGTTTATGCGGATATCCAACCTCGATGCTAACTTTATGATTTTTTTAATAATTACACTAGCTATTTTTCACGCAAAATATCACGAACACAAACTTTTAAATACCGCACGACAAAACCGTAATAGAAACACAGAAGAGTTCAACTCTGAAATAGATTTCCAATAGCGCTAGACGCACTATTTATAGGGAAAATCTTTTCCAAAAGTGATTTATAAAAAATTATAGAATTATCCCGTAGTTTCGAGGAGAACGCGAGGGTGAAAATGCTATTTCGGGCTAAGTAATAAATTATTTTTTCTTGAAAAATTTATATTTCTTGTAGCTTGACCCTTTTTCGATTTCACTTTTTTTTTGTTTACTAATGGTGTATAAACGGCACCAGATATATAACACGTCCAAATAAATAGTTATTTAAATTTTTCGGAAGGAAGTTCTCGCTTCTTCAAACATTTAACAAATTAAACATTAACAAATTTTTAACATTTATAAAATATTTCTTACTCGTACTTCTATTGTATATTTCGATACTTTCTTCTTCTTCTTGAAATAGTTTCTGCATTTTATGCGATGATTTTACAATGATTTTACGATGATTTTTAAATTTTCTTATCTAATACCCTGACACGTTCGAACGTGATCGAACCTGTAATATTCGCTTTATTCGAGAAAATTCTTTCCTTGAAAAAGAGCAACGTAAAATTATAGTTTATTCGAATGTTCAATAATTTATTTATTTAAAATTTTTCTCATCTAACATCGAAGATTCGCGTGTGTTCGAACATGATCGAATCTGTAATAATTCTGTTATTCGAGGAAAGTTTTTCCTTGAAAAAAAAGCAGAGACAAAGCGAAAATACGCGTTTTTTCTAGAATCTTCTAGAATCGATTTAACTGTATATTATTTATAAATCGTACCTTTTTATTTATTTCAAAGGAGGGGAAGATATAGGTAGGTAATATACCGCTACACTGCTTCACTCGAGTAACGACATTCGAAGCGTCTACTTCGAAAATATCCCTCCGAGTTTTCGTTTGTTAAAAGTGGACATTTTGTTCAAAATTCTCTCATCGAGTAATATGGCCGGACCACAAGAAGCTGCGAATCCCACTAAACTAGAAAATATTCGCAAGATATTTAAGAACTGTGTGCAAAATGTGGAACAAAATTTGCTGCTTTCTACGTACCCTCTCAATACCTCTCATACGAAGAAATTACACGTGGGATTACAATTATCTAAAGAAAAGATCTTCGAGTCTGTCGTTAAATTGAGTGGTAATTCTGCAGAAGGAATCAGCTTTGATCCGGACACGTGCATTTCAAGACAGTATTCGGTACATGAGCGCATACTTTAACGGAAGCAGCAAAAGCAAAGTAAATCCTATCACATTTGCAAACATATTCATCAACTTCACCTCTGCCTACGATGCGAAAGCTGTATTGGTAACGTATAAGGAAAATGAAAATTTTCCTAAAGAAAACAATACCGGAAATACGCAAGCAGACTCGAAAACGGTGGAACAACCTTCGTCGAAAAAAAAGGAAAACTTATTCCGTTGCAGTTATAATGCAACAAGCTACTTTTCAAGGGATGGAGAATATCGTCAAATGTGTCGATGCTCGTATAAACCATCTAGCATCCGTCGTCGATACTGTTAACGAGTGCGCACGTTATTTGATCAAGGAGATAGAACTATGTCTATCTAACAATTACATCGACGCCGATATCATCAAACTCACCGTCCGAGGCAACCAAAAGGATATCGAACTTGCTGTGAGAACGCAAATAAATAATTTACCATTTTTGGATATTTTACATATTTTGATATTGTATTTTTAGAATTAATTACATTAAAATTTTAAAGAAATTACTACTATAATTTATTGAATCGTGAGTTATAATAAATTCAAATTTACGTCGTTTCTTTATCTCTCCTTTATCCTAA